GAGAGAGAGAGAGAGAGAGAGAGAGAGAGAGAGAGAGAGAGAGAGAGTGAGTGAGAGTGGGGCCAAGTAAACGATACAAAACACGAACACGAGACATTATCTTATTCTCTCGTCAAAGAAAGCGAGTACAACGAACACAGCACTACAACAATTTTTGGTTGTTCTTTAATTGATATAAAGTGAGCGACCTTTAAAAAACTTGTAAATTTGATGCTAAGAATCGACTCAACGCAAACGCACCCTTCCTCTTTCCCTGCGTGTATGTGTTTGTTAATGTTATACAAAGCGGTGACTTGCAAAGCAAATCGTTCAACTTTACGATATGATAAGAGATAATGAAAGCGTTCCATCGTCTTGCTATTTTATATATTCAGATTTAGAATCTGTTTATATTGTGGGCACAGCAATAGCAATAGCAACGGCCACAATCAAATCGAATGGGTCGGGTCGGGCAGAGGTGGATTTTACGGCAAATGCCGTAAATCGTAATGGTTGAAAAATGGTAAAATGGGTTGATACTAATAATGATGATGGGATCCATCTAATCGGTTTTGAGTTGTTGTTGCGATACGTACTTTGTACGCGTATAACGTCAATATGTTGTTTGATTTGATCAAAGCGATGAAAACATGAGTCAAATGACTGTGATTTAGCTGAGAGAACACAAAGTCTGGTTGCTTTTATGCGTACGACCCCCATTCACTTAATTTTACACCTAGATCGTCAAACAGACATCTATCTATATAATCTACATATATAACCGACACCCAAACTATACACTAATGCTAGCTGAGAGCGGAGATTTTATTTCGAATTTACCTATTTTATTTTATATCTTTCTATTAAATTGAACTTTTCCCATTTTTTGCAGTAAATTACACAAAAATACCACCCAAACACCCAAAGAATCATCGCAAATCAAATAAGGGGAAATAGAGAGTGAAAATTTAACAACAAAAACGAAGCTATAAATTAAGGCGAGGGAATAGAGCGAGCGAACGGAATTGACCGTGGAAAGGCGGTGAAGTGCGAGCGCGCATATGCTATTAAAAACAATAATGAAATCAGGAGTGACAGTGCAAAAATGATTTATCTATTGAACGACGATGGAACCAAGTAGATCGATCAATCATGAGACCGAAGCAAGCAGTAGTACAGCCATTAATTGTAATAACACGTCGATAATACAAAATCCAAGCATAAGATATGACTTGAGAAAGCCACAGTCATCAACAGTGTCTGCTGCGGCAGCGGCAAATGTGCTGTTGCATTCATCGTCGTCGCGATGTGATAACAATGGATATGGTGGTGGCAGCAGTGGCGGTGGTGGTGGTGGTAGTAGTAGTAGTAGAGGTAAAAGTGGCGACCAAAGCACTTTTCACACATTGCATTACGACAATTCAAACGATATAATCATAACGAATAGAAAAATGCACACAGCGAATTTAAATCGATCGAGGCGAGCCAGCCAAACAGCACGAGGTGGTGGCGGTGGTCGACTGCATCATGGCAGTGATTCGTATAGCTCGAAATCGTCCAGATCATCGTACAGTTCAACGTGTTCAGCAAGCTCATGCGACGGCAGCGAAACCAGTTCAAATTCATCGGGTGAACCAAATTTACCATACCCGGGCTTTCCTGAGCTCTCCCTCAACTATCTCACACAAGATATGCGACCTAGAAACTGGTGTTTGCTACTCATTACAAATCCATGGTTCGAACGTGTTTCAATTTTAGTCATTTTATTCAATTGTGTAACGTTAGGCATGTACCAGCCATGCGTTGACGATGAATGTGTTACAAATCGCTGCAAAATACTCCAGGTAAATAGAATGTGTCCATACCATAGCCGCATCGCCATTTATTTACACATATAATTAGGCCATCATTCGTCTAGAACATTTCTCATTTTGGTTTCTGTCTCGTTTAGACAGAGTGAAACGATGATGGCGACGAAAAAAAAAATGAAATCGATGGCTTGTATCGAAAGTCAGACCCATAAATAGATGTGTAAATAAATGGCTAAAGCGAAAATATCAACAAAATATAAATCTTTTTCCAAATCAATAATTCTTTTTCTCTCTTTCTCTACCGCCCTCTTCCTCTGTGTATCTTGTTACAGATATTCGATGACATTATATTTGCGTTTTTCTCCTTGGAAATGAGCATAAAAATGGTTGCGATGGGAGTCTATGGCAAAAATACCTATCTGGCCGATTCGTGGAATCGTTTGGATTTTTTCATCGTGCTGTCGGGCGCACTTGAGTACTGTTTGAACATGGAGAATTTAAATTTGACAGCGATCCGAACAATACGTGTTTTGCGTCCATTACGAGCCATAAATCGAATACCAAGTAAATAATACCGATTTTTTTTGTTCATCTTGCTATCTCTCTTTCATTACTTTTTACTCCTGTACTCCTATGCTCGTGTTGTGGTGGTGGTGAAGGTGGCGATAATACACGTAAAAACTTCATTATCAACGCGTGCAAATCATTAAACATTTTTTGTGTAGTTGTATCATTGTGACAAATCTTGCTTTGGTTTCTCTTGTGTGTATGTCTCCATTTTCATCATCATGTTAGTTCCATTGAGATATCACCGTTTAATCAGTAGGATGTTCATGCGACTGCGGGAGCAGGATTAAAATGTGGCCAATGAATGGTGTAGCGTAGCAAGCACACAAAAATCACCTTAACTCAACTCGACTCGACTTGACAGCAGGGAAAGTAAATTACACAATGTACAACTGAGTACAAATACTCTCTCTCTTTTTTTGTCGTTTACGTGTAACATCTCTTCGCAAACGTGAACCGAAAAGACTGGCGGGTTATTTGGTCTGATACTCTTCGATTTTTGATTTACTATCCGATGAACCGAAAATATCTCGTCGAATGGCCACCACATAGTAGTCGGTGAAACAAAGCGAACCGTGCAAAAACTTGAACGAAAATATATCTCATTCTCTCTGGTTTGAACGAACACAACATGAATGATGTGAAAAAGTGAGGGTCGTGACAACAACAAAGAGGCGAAGAGAGTGAGTGAATAAGAGCGAGAGATAAAGCGAGAGGGCAGCTCTTCGGCCGTCATTAATCCACTCAACCGAATATTGATTTGGGTTAAATTAATAGGATACTCGATATCTATCTAATATACTCACGATAGCCACATTTTATGTCGGTTCGACTCTTTGGCAGGCTGTGAGCACACAGAGCACATACCAAACCATGTACAGCACAACAGAGGACAGCAAAGCACAGTGTGCTTCTCTTGTCTGTGCTACTGCCACTGTTCGATGTACACAATTTACTCAACCAAAATGAACGATTATCGTTGCTTTTGATGCGAATCAATGTACCATATCGAGTCATTTTCGTCGAATGGCTTTGTTTTTCTTTTGCATTGTGAGCTTCAAATTTGTCTTTCTTTCGGGCAATTTTATTCTTTGTTTTGTGGAATGTTTTTTTTCTCGTTCTGTGTTCACTGTCGTCCTTGGTGTGTTCGATTCCGGTCCCGTTTGATGTGAATTACGTGAAAATTCGATTCGAATTAGATGGCAAAACATATTTGCAGTAGGAATTTTCGGTAAAAGCCAATGAGTGGGTAGGCACATTCGAGAGCATAACGTGTTGCTGTGTGTGTGTTAGCCGTAAAAAGCGTGTCAACGCAAAATTCGATTGGAAAATCTGTTTATTCTGGGAGTGTGTGTGTGTGTGTGTGTGAGCAAGTTCACTCATAACTAGAGCAAATAGCATTATCTCCTTTTATCCTTATCTCGTGGCATTTTATGTCTTTGCATTCTGATCCCCACGAGATCCCAATTCGCATTGGATTTCAAATCGTATATTGTTCTCTGGCTGTGGCGCGACGCATGCAACGCTGTATTTTAATTTTCGGTTTTTGTTCGATTTATCGAAGCATCTAATTCAGGCCAGTATATTTCCACTCTGATTTCCCTTGCCATCATAATGGAATCGCTCACTCGTTCATTCGTTTGTTCGCGAGCTCACTCTCCCTATCTCCAACACCTCATCCCGTATTAAAGTGCAATTACTTCAATTCAATCTGACTGCGAGTACATTATATACGCCTCATTCATTTATGTATTTCAATGTTAGCTAGAGGATTCATCAGCATTCTTCCTCATCGACACAACAAAAAAAAGAGCATCCGAATCCAAATATGAACATTGAAAATATCTTTTGGTGGCAATTCCATAGAATTTCTGTATTATTGATATGTTTTTTTCAGAAACCGCTATTCACATGTGACCGTGTTCGTGCGCCCATGAGCTCTTGCTCATTTCATTCATCCACTCGCTTCACCTCTTCACACATTCTCGATATGTGTGAGTGCAGAATTTTGGGCAATCTTTCATCTTAAAGTAGCACCATCAATTTTCTAACGAGATGGAGAGAACACAAGATAATATCCACGCGTAAAATATTTACTCATTGGCCTTTAAACGAGAGACAGAGAAATGCCTCAAGTATTTTATGCACGCAGCTCAAAGGGATAAAACGCGTGAATGGGAATGTTTTTTGACATGCGTATGGCTGGCGCGCGAGCGAGCGATCGATGTTTGTTTTCTCGTGTGGCACGATTTGTACATACTCAATTGAAGCGTGTGGTTGCGGCCTCTCCATTCCATTCCATTTTCCCGTTTTTTGTGTATGTGTATTCATTTGAATCATATGAGCAATTCACAAACTCAACGTCGAACGATGGTGGCAACGGTGACGAAGAGGATGTAGATTGAAATGAATGTGTCAGTTATCTGTTTGGATAATGTAATTTTGGGAAAATATGTCGAAAGGAATCATAAAAGCGAACATTCGCATGAAAGCTTTCCGCTTAGGAGAGATTTTGTTTGATATCATCATGTTGTTGTTGTTGTGTGTGCTTTTTTTTTCTCTTGGTGCGATTGGTCCCGCATAGCTCGTTTGCATTGTATGAAATACCTCCCTACCTATAATGATGGCCACTGGAATGAACAAACCAACAACAACAACAACAACAACATCGAAAAATTGAAGACAAAACACACAACTTAGAAAACCATCGAAAAGTCGCATATGTTCCCTCTGCCCCATATATCCATAGCATTTCGCCAAAAATTCGAGAAGAAAAAACAAAAATAGAAATAAAATATACGTTTCACTGCAAAATCAAACCAATCAGTCTTGTGTAGATTTTGTGTGCTAGAAAGCGAAAATTTCCGCACACTTTTGCCACTTTTGTGTGGCAGGTACATAGTAGGAACCATTTCGTTATTTCGTTGGATAAAACATATTTCAATATCGTTTTCCCTTATCTCATCCAATCAACGGTGAAAAAAAGGGAAAAGAGTACACACAACACACGAAACGAAACGAAACACAAGCCAGAGCACACATTTCAACCATGTTTCGATGCTCAAGAATCTCTTTCCAAATTCACATCAGAGTATTAAACACATACATATAATCAAGGGCAGATTGCAAATGCTTCAAACATAAAAACAAGCACGAAAAACGCATATATACACTCACCTGATCTCGTTCCGAAGTATATATATGCATGTGTGTGTGTCTCAAGCCGGGAGAGAATGAAAAAGGGCCCATGAAAAACGAAATATGACGAATAAAAATCAAGGGAATAAAAAGAAAAAGTCTGCTACCAGCCAGGGAGAGTATTTGTGTGGCACATTTCTAACATCGAGACATTTAATGTTTCATATTCAAGAGAGCAATACACATCCTATACATGAGGTGGTGGTTGTTGTCGTTGCGCACATGCTATATCGCCTGATCGTTTATCTCTCGTTTACGTCGCTCGCCTCTGAATGAGAGAGAGTCTGCTTGAGATTTCACTCGTTTGATGTTTTATACATGCAATTGATTCAGGTATTCCCAGCGAATTTCAAATCAATATTGTTCAAACAAACAACTTAAACTCTGTGGGATATCCCTCTTCCTTCTCTTCTTTTACAATCCTCTCTTACATACACAAATACACTCACACAACGGTGTCGATGATAACATAGTGGCAGCAGCAGCAGTGGCGGTAGCCTCGAATTGATTTTTCCTCTTTCATGTTGTATTCTCAAGCCAAGCGATTTGGATATTATTGAATGGATCCCAATTCGAGGGGACGGGGTTAAGCCAATGCGTTGGCACAACGAAACAAAACTTCCAGCAATAATTAAATTATGAATCATTTTATGTTCTCAGCATGCAATCGGTCGAGTTGGTTTAAGCTGAACTAAGCATCGTGCACTGAATAGAAAACGATGGGAGAAAGCGAACAAAACTTTTTACAAGTAGCTTTCATTTCGTTCATTTCTTTTTCTCTCTAACTTCGCTTTTAATATGATTGAGAGACATTTAAAAGTTATGCGTCTGTATACGATAGCAGTAACGAAAATTGTCATAAAATTTCTTATCTCGATATCATGGCTGATGTCTGCCTTTCTTTTTCGCTTCGCATTTCCATTAGGATTACTTTTATTTTTTTGGGGGCTTTTTTCGGTTGCGCTTCTTATGTTTGTGCATTGCAGTTTGTTGTGCACGTTGACGCTTATGAGCTTTGTGTGCTGCTGACGACGACAATGACGTGTGTTTGACGCTTATTCTCCTTTCATCTTTTTGTTCGTGTCAAACACATACACAATATTTCAGTCGCCTTTCTGATAATTCCACACACACTTTCCCTTTATTTCTTTTCTGTGTTTCCATATATCGTTCATTTTTTTCTCACCCCCCCCCCCCCTCTCTCTTATCTTATCGTCGTGCTGTGCAATTTTACGCCAAGTTTCTTTTTCTTCGCTTTGGCGTGTGCGTTCTGCTTAACCATATAAACACTGGAACTTCACATAAAAAAATAAAAATCAAACATTTTACACTTCAAAGGTATGAGAATACTGGTGATGCTGTTGCTGGATACGTTACCCATGTTGGGAAATGTGTTGCTGCTGTGCTTTTTTGTATTCTTCATATTTGGTATCGTCGGCGTACAACTGTGGGAAGGCATTCTACGACAACGGTGCGTGCTTCAGTTGCCGGATCATGTGGCAGCTCCCAAGTAAGTCCATCCATTTCAATTTCCATTCACTGTCTGCGACCAGTTTGAAACTTTATGTGGAATAACATAATCATCACAAAAACAAATATAAAATTACCGAAAAAACAACAACAATAAGAAAAACTGTACAAATTATACAACAGCATTTACGATTCTTTTACGTTCAGTTCATACATTCACAATTTTATTTATCTATTTATATGCTAGACTATTATACTTAAACACATATAGGACATAGGACAGTATCTATACTATTCAATAGAAACCATTTACATCAATTTATTTCCATATAATAAAAAAACAAACCAAATATCAACCAAAAACCAATATATAGCCAAAATTTGCTCGCAATCTCGTCTCGTTGATAATTTCGCGCCAATTTTTCATTCGCTCATTTCAACAATTCATTATTCTTCACACACACACACAGTCACATACATTTATTTCGTTTGTGTCTCGTTTTATTCTCTCTCTCCCACACTGTCAGTGCTATTTTCTTAAGACTCATTCCATATAAATACTTCATTTTTTTTTTCATTGTTTCGTCTCGTCCCGTTCATTCGTTCATTCATTTTTTTTTGTCATGCATTCCATAACGAACAAATTTTTGCAGAAAACATCAAACCAATTGACTTTTTAACCATTCCGAACTTACACCATTGAGTTCAGTTCACCAAACGAGTTCAAAAACTTCATCATTGTATAATAAAATATTAGCATTCTATTTTATCTTTCGCATACATAAATATAACCCATCATGCATTTCTATATGATGTGCAAATTTGCTATATACCTTTCACTAAACCCACACCACCCTGGTTGTTCGTTCCCATCGTGCATCCATTCACTTCGATTCATATCAAAAATTCGTATGATTTCCAAATGAAAACTTTCCTCAGAAACCGAGCTCTTTGTTTGTCTGTGCAGTTTTGAAACGAACAAATATGTTGGTGGTATTCGTATATTTTGGTCTCGTCGTTGGCATTCTATTGCTCATTCTCCTCTACATCTGGAGCGGTGGCTTTCATCGACACAATTCATTTCGCCATTTGCAAAAATGGCAAATGTGAGCGTCAGAGAGGGATTGCCCTGTTGAATTCGCAAATGCTAAGAGCTTTGTGCTCATTCTGCTGCTTTTTCTCTCTCTTTTCTCCCTTGTCTTCTTCATTTTGTGCATTTAAGTTGTTTACCTTTTTCCAGAAAAAAAAAGAAATGCTATTTTAAGAGCTTTTGCATTATGCGAGCCAAACAAATCTCAAGCTTAGACCGTCTACGTGGAACAGTTCACAGTGAGTGTGTATGTGTGTATCCGTTGCGCTCTCGCACAGCGGAGCTCATCAACGATATAAATGGATGAAATTCTCATTCTGCACGAACAATTAAGACAAACAGAAAATAAATCAAATTTTGGAATATGCTTAGCGTTTACTCTTTCATTTTTCGCTTCTTCTTTTTCGGCAATGATGGCATTCAAACAGGTCTTTTCATTCACAATCCAAATTGACTTCTGAAATGAAATTAGTTTGTCTCTTGCTCTCGGTTGAGGCTCTTTTGTTACCTCTGCGGAGACTCCTCCGCATCCCCCAAAGTAAAAACAAAGTTTTCTTGTTTTTTCCTCTTCGTTCCAATTTTCATTTGCCTGCGACTTCATTTTCTCTCCCTCTCGCATCCAGTTCAGAAGAATATTTCGAAATGTAGTTATCATCATCATTCAGTTAATTTATACACGTTGGTTTTTTTCGCTCGTTCGCGCTACAAACACACACACACACACTTGGCTTCGGGTGGTTGCAAAAAAGCAGCGGGCGACGGTCAGAAAGGGAGCGATAATGAAAGAGAATAGTCATCTAGAGCGATAGACAAAGAGTCAAAGGGGAAGAAGACGATGGCAAATATCAAGGTTGTAGTAAATTAGAAAATTAGGGAAATGGTCAGCGATGGTGTATGTGCGTGAGCTTGGGGCAAGAGAGCGCATTCTATTGACGTTATTTTTATATGTTGGTGGCGGTGGCAGCAACAGCAACAGCAGCAGCACCAACTGTTGACGACGGCGCGAAGCGTAAAAGGGATAATGGTGGTAATGTTAACGGAGCGGAAGTGATTTAGCACAATTTCAGCTGAACATTTCAGTGATTTAAATGACTTGGCACATTTTCCCATGAATTCAGAGGTCTGACGGCCGTCGGTTGATTTGGCCATTTGCACGAAAAAAACGAAGAGAAACGAGCGCCTAATTGGAAAATCTCACCGAAAAAAAAGAAGGAAAGTCGGTCGTTCTGTTCTCTTTCTCTCTTTCCGATTCGCCACATTCAGAATGTGGTTGATGGTCATGGTGTGCAAAAGATTGGCTTAGCAGTGGATCCATTGACGACGACGACGACAGCATAAAATGTACAATGAAAAGTCAAAATCTCATTTCACAGCAACCTTTTGACACCTTCAACCAGAGAAATGCATCATGTGCCTCAACGCTCTCACCGATCTTCCATTGCTGTTGTTCTGATAAAATAGGTTTCGCGCACGCTCACGTACTAAATGGATGCATGACGAAAAGGAAGGAAAAAAGCGATGAAATTTCCATCCACACACAAATGGATGATTTTAGTTCAGCGATGTACCCACGATTTGAACAGAAAAAAAATAACCCAGGTAAAGCACACCTAATCCAAAGTTCATTTATCACATTCATAATACGCAAACAAATCAAAAACTTATGTGTCTCCTGCGTATATTTACTGTTGACATTCGCGTCATTTTCCAACTTCGGTAGTCGCTGTTGTAGTTGTCGTAGTCGTCATAGCCCATACTTCGTTCACTTTCTACCCGCACGGCATCAGAAAGTAACGATTACAATGCGCGACATATGAATTATGCGTCGCTCGGTTATAATTTTGTTTGGCTGCGTGTATGGCCCCAAAAGAAATGTGTTCTTTTTACATATTTTCGGTTTCATCGTTGTGGAAACGGTTACCGTTCATCTAAACAGAAATGCAATCGAAACCCGTCACCTCCTTCCACCTTCTCCCCCGGTTCACCACCTACACAAACGTAAATACACACCGCAGTTCGACTGACATATTAAAATATATGTAAATAAATCATAAATTACAATTTGAATGTAGGTAAACGTTCTTTTTGTGGCTGGTTCTGTGTTATTTCCTCTGCGTGGATCGTGCTCTCTTTTTTTATTTCGTTTCATTCCATTCGTTTTGTTTGTCGGGGAGTTTTCGTTGCACGTTCCATAATTTATACGACAATAAGAATTCATTTGTAACAAATTAACGAAAATGAAAATTAGAAAAGTTTTTCACTGAAGTTTTTCATGGCCATTTTGGGTAGAAAGGCCGATTTTATCAGCGCCCGGCTAACAAGAAAACTCTCCTGTCCAATATGCCAATTCATAATACACAGACACCACTCGAATATTTTATTAGAATTGTAATTCATTCCGTTGAAATTTCCATACATAAACACAAATAAAAGAGCATCAATTAATTTCCCCACCAGCTAAACATTAACCATTCTACACACAGTACAAAGTACATACGCATACAAACATTGTAGCCCGCTCGAATGAAATCCACTACTACTGTAACCACCACCACTATCAAATTAACTTAATAATGATGTTGAAAACAATAGATTTTGGGTAGTTTTGATACATGCAATAGAAATGCGAATCGTTAATTAAAGTTGTACGTATCCAATAACCGATGTAGTATACGTTTATGTGGAAGTTTTTGTTCCATACATTCCAAACTAGATGTACGATGTCGATATATTCCCTCTCACTCTTGCTCTGTATGTATCGATGTCGATACGCTCACCCAGCCTTTTGGTTTCATTGTTCGTGTTCCATCATTTTGTACGATGTTTCATTTATGGAAATTTTTACAAGACAAAAGCATTCCACCATTCATTTCGTTTTCTTTTTCTCTCGTAGTCATAGGTTTAGGCAGTTTGCAATGTTTTTTTCTTGTATCCTGGGTGAAAATTTATCACGAGAGTTTGCCCCTGTTATTATATGATTCGGTAACTAAAGCCCAACTGATATTTACTGATACAAGTATTGGTTAGTGATGTTTAGCCCCATAGAAGATAATTAAATGTTAAATTATAGAAGCCTGGAAATAAGCATCCCCACCTACCGAAACACCCATAAACTATGGGCCATAGTGATGATGTTCAAACATTATATATTTGGCATTATGTTCAGTGTAGAATAGTTATGGCTCACCTCCGTGATTTTAAATTCAGAGAAACGAAAACAACACACAACCTCGTATACCACTGACTCTCGATTATAATTTATTGATGTGAAGGTCAAAAACAGTAAGTTTTTTTTCCCCCATTTCGAGTGAGCGAATGAAATGGAACAAAAAAACCAACACTCATTCATCATTTGAAAATTATAAAAAATTTTGAACGTCTCTTTCCCCCATTCTGTCGACTGGATTATATAAAAGACGAAAGGTTTCGTTTCAAAATTACAGTGCACAATCAGCAAAACCGTCAGAAACTACAATATATCGACTTTCATTTGGCCTTTCAATCAATCTGTCGCTTCGCATATTGATTTTTCTCCGATCGCTTTTTTTTACTTCATTGTTGTTCTTGCGTTTGCTTTATTCCAAAACACATTTTACCAGCGAAAGAACAGAAGCAACGTGAATTGTTGATATGAAACATTTTTGATTGAACTCCATGGATGAATTTTCAGTTTGGTTCGCTTGTTTTCTTCTTCTTTTTTTATGGAATGACGTTTTCTTCAAATATACAAATAAATCGAAACAGAATTTTGGTTTTCTTGTTCGTTTCATTTTTTTTTTTGGAAACATTTAATCAATAAATTACGCTTTAGAGAGCTACTCTCAGAAACTAAATCTGAGCAACGAGAGCAGAGCTTGCAAATTGCTTCTTTTTTTTGCATTTTGAGCAGATGCTTTTCAATATGATGTAAATATTTATATATAACAACTCTCTCTCTCTTCTTCTATTTCGAACTTCTACTATTTTTGTTTGGCTTTTGTTTCGACTCTTTTTGTTCTTTTCAATGACGAAGAAATCGATTGCAGTTTTTATAGACATTTCAAGCCATTCGATGGCAATAAAAAATAACCATAAGCCATATAAATGACAATCAAGAAACTGGGCCGACAAAAATACACTCATCCGATATCATGTCGAGCATCTCGACTAGTCTTTGACCGGCAATGGTTTTTTTATTGCTAGCGTCTGATATGAAATGGAATGAACAAAAAAATATATTTTAAACAAATTTAGCCAATTTTTTTTTCTTCTGAAAACAACATTTTTGCCTATACTTTCAACTAAAAAAAAAACAATAAATAAAAAATAAGACACATGCAAAAGCTGTGAAATCGAAAGGATTGAGAGATAATCTTTTGTTTAAGTGTGAATTATTTTCTTTAACAGTGAACATTTGTAAAGGGAACATTAGACAATTACTGAATTGAATCAATTGAAAAACAAACAATTCCATCAAAATGAATGTTACATAAAGCAAAGCGCTTGGATTTTTATATTACAGGGATCTACCGGACGATTACAGAGTTCGAGTTCGAATCAATTCGTAAGAGACCTTCATTAAACAAATTACAAAAACCAAACCCCACAAATACACATGCTAAACAAAAAATTATGCCGCGTGTTGCGTTCTTCATTTTTATTAGCGTTTTTTTTGGCTGATTTTTTTTTACTGTTTTCGAAAGCAATTGAGTTCAATATTTCACAAACAAACAAACAAATCAAACCATAAACCAAATTGAGACACACAAATAACCAATTCTCATGACGAGTCAGACAATTGGAACATACACATATACACCGAGTGATAGTAGCTATTAAGAAAACAGCGTCACACATGATGAAAAACACATAAATTTCCAAAAGCTTTCCAATAACATAACCAAGAAGAAGAAAGAATAAATACAACCAGCACAACAATTACATATACTTCAATATCACCACCTCTCTCACATAATAAATGACTCGAGAATTTGTTGGTATATTCGAAAGAGAGATACACCCATACACCAAACACAAATTGATGAGAACGAATTCAATTCCATACAAACTAAATTCAATTACACACTTTTTTCTTTTCATTCTCAATCAGAGAATGCTTCTTTTTTTTATCCGCCCCACCCTACTTCACACACTTTTCTTTTCTGGTGAGCTTCTTTGGTCGATGTTCATTTTCTATTCAGTTTGTTATTCAGTTTTTGACTTCCAACCTTGTTGAACAACACACAAACACATACAATTACATAAAATAAAATCCCCACACCTGAACTTAGTTAATGATATTTCCAGTGGACAATATCCTTGGCGCACTGCGTTCGAAATCGTACGTTAATTATAGCCTATTGAATTGTTGAATAACATCATTTTGGGCGCTGAATAACATTAAATTGATAGGCCATATTACGACCTATTGCTTCGCCCATATCACAAAATAACATTTTCACAATCGATACAAAACAGTTTAATACTCACGGATCATGGAAGAGCGTGCGTGTGTTTTTTTTCGCACTTAGCCAAACATTTCATGCATTCATTTTTGCGCGTAATCATGGTTGCATTTATAAAATAATTCGGTTTTTACATTGGCTTCAACATGTGTTTCGATGAAAAAAAAAAATAAGAATTCAAACCCATTTCAGCGATCAGCGAGCGTGCTGTTTTTTTTCATTCGTTAAGTCATTGCAAATGACCACAAAAATTGGCAAGCGATTTGTTTACAAAAGCTAAGAATAAATGCGCAATCGAATAATTGGAGTTTTTGTTAATGCTGATTTTCGGTTTTACACTATTCATTGCCAGCGTCGCTGCAGCCGCCTCGGCCCCAAATTTTTATTTATTACCATTCCAGCATTCTATTCAGTTTTTATTATAAAATTTATTTGAATCACTGTACAAACACACAAATGTGGCTTCTCGTTGGAACGAATTGATTGGCTGTTTGTGTTTGCCGTGTTCTGCACTTTTTTCAGCTTGTTTTATCCGCTTCATCAGTATACACTTTGAAACAAATCACAGCAAAAAAAACACCAACAACACATTGCATCATGATGTGTTTCGAATTGAATGGCCCGTTTGGCAACAGATGGTACACAAAATGAAGCTCTGTCCAACCGATTGAAGTGTTTACTCTAACGAGCACCGTAATTGAATTGAAATAAAATGGTAAAGGCCAAACGCCCGAACGATTAATTTCATTCAATTGAATTCCACGCCACAATTGCTCTTCCATTCTCTCTCGACAAGGGACAGAAAAAAAACCGATATCGACAATATCATTTGGTGTGCTTTGATTTGGGGCCAAGCGAAAAAAGGGTGACCGAGTAAGTGGAATTAGAATTCCATCCATCCATCCATCCATTTTTAATGGTATTTCAACAAAATCTCAATTTTTCATTGGGAATAATGGTAACACCGCATTAATTATGTACTAATTTTTGGTCGTGTGTGGCACGTGAACATCATTGGAGAGCAATTAATGTTGGCGGTAAGCCGTAAATACGACGACAACACAGGCAATAGTAAAAATTGAACAAAGGCATAAAACATTCATTGTGAACTGATGGTAGTAAAGGCAAAAATGGCAAATGGCATATAAATAGATGTGCTGGAGAGTAGCGCAAAATGTGTGCGTGTGTGAGAAAGAGCTGGGTGCACACGGCAATATTCATTCATTCGGTGCGAAAATGTATCACACAGCGACCGACATAAAAACGGATTCTATTATTGTTGGCGACATTTCAGAAGTCATAAAATTCACAATACATATTTTCTATGACAACAAATAACAACACGGAGAGAGAGAGAGAGAGAGAGAGAGAGAGAGAGAGAGAGAGAGAGAGAGAGAGAGAGAGAGAGAGAGAGAGAGAGAGAGAAAGAAGCGCACATACGCGCGCGCTCTAGCAACGAATACCCGCGCATCGAAGTAAAAATGAATGGTAAAAAACAGTATATGATACATTTGCACAGAGTGGCGAATCAAAGTGACGGTTTGAGAAAAGAGCGCGCCGTTTTTTGCACATCGATTTTTCGACACGAACATCATACAATCGAACGCGCACCCGATGTCAGTTTTGCAACAAAGCATGAACCATAACTTCATTGAAAGCGATACAGAAGAAAAAAACACATACAAAACAACAACAGCAACATATTTTCAACGTCAGTCACAAATGATAGCGCGCGATGAGCAAGAAATAAAATAAAAAAAAGACACCAACAACAGTAATATCGCACAGAGTATGTAGACCGGCAGCATATTGTTTGCCCCGAAAAAAGCCATCACATTTTCTAATATTGTTGGCACTCATCCTCTCAATCAATCTGGTGTTATGAATGACGTGCGCTTATGTGCTTTTGCTCTCTCGCTCAGTTCGTGCACTAAATGGTGTGCCAGTGATGATATCAGTGATTGTGAGCATAGCGTACTCGATGAAAATTTATTATTATTATATTTCAAAGCGCGGTGGCGAATGCATTCGAGCATTAATCAATAAATAAATACTGTGAAATGACAGTGTGCCCGAGTGCGCACGCCGAAGCCTCGACAATTTGTTTGCGCGCCAACAAGCGAACAAGCAATCGAGCTAGCGATCGAACAACAAAAGGTAATATATAATGGAGCATATGACACCAAAAGCGGTTTTAATTGTGAGTTTGTGAGAGTGACGAGATTGTCGGTGTGGGTGTTGAATGGCCACGACATAGATTACAGTTTGACCTATGCTCTAAAAGAACCTATCAAACCGAGAAAAATCTGTTCAGTAATTGGAGAAACAGAGATATAGAGAGTGAGAAATCAATCGAGGGGATAACGTAGACAAAATGAAATGTGTCACATTTATAATTCACGTATTGGTTTGACATTGCCACATTGTCGTTCACATGCATACACAAATAGTCTACAGCCACACAAACACACACACACACACACACGTAATTGATCTTACGTAAAGCATGTACGATTGTACCGTAAAATGTGTACGTCTGCATTGGCAATAAAGGTCGTTGCTGCTGGCTGGTGTGCCGTTGCAGGATTTATTTATTTTCCATTTTCCCGATTTGAATAAATAAAACTCAATAAATAATAGCAAAGTCCATTCATTGTCTAAATACGATTATTTAGTCGATGGGTTTCAGTTCAAATTATCACATACTCACTGTGTGTTTGCGCGCTTTTATTTACAATGAAAAATTCGAAAACAATTCATTGGCCAAACAATGAGCTTTTTTCGGATGTACTGTGTCTGTGTGTTTACGTCTATTTCGGTTCGGGAATTTTAAAGTACACACACAAACATCGGCAAACCCCCAGAGCATCGGATATAAAAATGTGAAATCTACAGCTTTTGTTTTGCGAGAAATTGCCGCTTTACCACTCTCGCTCGCTCGCTTTCTCTCTCTCACGTGAATTCGCCACATCAACAATTTATACACACACTGCACCATTTTACCCATTGTAATGATTACAATGTAATCACAAGCGCACTCAAAATGATACCGACAAAACACGCAAAAACAAAGAGACCCCATCCAAATTTGATTAGAATGAAAATTTCATGCTCAACGGAATAAACAGATGGAAAACGCAGAGACAGGCATCAGAAAGCATTTCGTTTCATTTAGTCGTACGTAAACGTTCGTTTCAATTGAAATTCTATTTGTGTACCGTCTGACGCGAGCGAGCTGTTACGCTTCTTCTCTTCTTCGTCTCAAAAACAAACATATTTCCCTTGCAGCTCGAAACCGAAAATAGATTCCATCTATTCATTGTCATACAGCTCAATGAACATTTAAAAAATTGCTATTCTCTATTATTAATTGATTAACGATTATAATTGATTATGATTTCATGTTGTTCCACCATATTAATTCGTTATTTGATTTCTCTCTCTATCGCTCACTCGCTCGTTCGCTCGCTGGCCTCCAAAATTGATGTTTATTTTTGCGACTTTGGCCTATTATCCGGATCGCTTTTTCGTATCGTTGCCATTTGGTTTGAGTGTGAAAAAAATAAAGACAACACTCTCAAGTATTGTTTGTGTTGGCATTCAGGTCCCGCAATTTCAACATGATTTGTCGAATACACCGGGCTCTGATGCGTGCACAACCGGTGGCGGCAGCCGCCAACAATAACGATGAAGATGATGACGAAAAAAAAAACTTGAGATGTGCATGGCGAAATTGACAAAGCTTACGATATCATTATTTAATAAATGGCTTAATAATTCAAATTCAAGGCGCATTTATCGCCACCCTCTGCACCGAACCGAACACAATTCAAATCATCGTAGTCATAACATGGTTTCCGTTCGCAACGGTTATGAAAAACCGTTTTCTTCTCTTCTCGATTCATGTCACGTCATACAACGTAAACAAATCGCACAACACACAATCACTCAGCCAAGTCAGTCTCACTTACATACACAAAAAACACACACACACACACCTTTTTATAGAATTTTTTCCACTCAATATTCTTCGGGTTTTTTTTATGTTGCTTTCTCTCCCTCTCTATCTGTTGTCTTTTGGTGCGTGTTGTCTCGCGCA